TTGTTGAAGTTGTGCTACTGGAGGTCGTGCTTGTGGATGTGGTGCTAGTACTACTTGTGGATGTACTTGTGGAGGAAGTGCTTGTGGAAGATGTGCTTGTACTGCTTGAGGAAGTAGTTGATGTCGTGGTCGCCGTTGTACTTGTTGTGGACGTGCTTGTTGAAGAAGTTGTTGTTGAACTGCTGCTCGTGCTACTTGAGGATGAACTCGACGAACTAGTACTTGTCGAAGAAGAGCTTGTTGACGACGTGCTCGTCGAGGAAGTGCTGCTTGAGGATGTGCTTGTGGAAGTTGTGCTGCTGCTAGACGTGCTTGTGGACGTGGTACTGCTGGATGAAGTGCTGGTCGAAGTGATGGACGTGCTGCTGGACGTCGTGCTGGACGAAGTGGTGCTGCTTGACGACGTGCTTGTCGACGTAGAGCTCGTCGACGATGTGCTTGTCGACGTTGTACTGGTTGAGGAACTGCTTGTGGAGGTGGAGGTGGTGCTGCTTGAGGACGTACTTGTTGACGATGTGGTTGTTGACGAGGTGCTAGTTGACGTGGTGCTGCTGGAAGAGCTTGATGTGGAAGTAGTACTGGTGCTGCTCGAAGATGTGCTGGTGGAAGATGCGCTGGTGGACGATGTGCTTGTGGAAGTAGTACTGCTGGAGGTAGTACTTGTGGAAGTAGTACTGGTGGTGCTTGAAGATGTGCTGCTTGAAGACGAGCTTGAGGTCGAAGTACTCGTTGCAGTTGTACTGCTGGAAGAGCTCGACGTGGAAGTAATGCTGGTGCTGGTGGTGGAAGTAATGCTGGTGCTGGTTGTAACTGTGGTCGTGCTGGAGACGCTTGTCGTGGAAGTACTGCTGGTGGTGCTTGTGACTGTGGTCGTACTGGATGTGGTTGTCGTGGAAGTAATGCTGGTGGTGCTCGTAGCCGTGGTCGTGCTGGACACACTTGTCGTGGAAGTCACGCTGGTGCTGGTTGTAACCGTGGTCGTGCTGGATACGCTTGTCGTGGAAGTACTGCTGGTGGTGCTTGTGACTGTGGTGGTGCTGGAGACGCTTGTCGTGGAAGTAATGCTGGTGGTGCTCGTAACTGTGGTCGTGCTGGATACACTTGTCGTGGAAGTAATGCTGGTGCTTGTCGTGGAAGTAATGCTGGTGCTGCTTGTGACGGAGGTCGTGCTGGATACGGTTGTCGTGGAAGTAATGCTGGTGCTGGTTGTGACAGTGGTCGTGCTGGACACGCTTGTGGTGGAAGTAATGCTGGTGCTGGTTGTGACGGTGGTAGTGCTGGATACGCTTGTCGTGGAAGTAATGCTGGTGCTGGTTGTGACTGTGGTCGTGCTGGATACACTTGTTGTGGAAGTAATGCTGGTGCTACTTGTAACCGAGGTCGTGCTGGATGCAGTTGTCGTGGAAGTAATGCTGGTGCTGGTTGTAACCGTGGTCGTGCTGGATACGCTTGTGGTGGAAGTAATGCTGGTGCTGGTTGTACTCGTAGCTGTGGTCGTGCTGGATACACTTGTCGTGGAAGTAATGCTGGTGCTGGTTGTGACTGTGGTCGTGCTGGATACACTTGTTGTGGAAGTAATGCTGGTGCTACTTGTAACCGAGGTCGTGCTGGATGCAGTTGTCGTGGAAGTAATGCTGGTGCTGGTTGTAACCGTGGTCGTGCTGGATACGCTTGTGGTGGAAGTAATGCTGGTGCTGGTTGTACTCGTAGCTGTGGTCGTGCTGGATACACTTGTCGTGGAAGTAATGCTGGTGCTGGTTGTGACTGTGGTCGTGCTGGATACACTTGTTGTGGAAGTGATGCTGGTGCTGGTTGTAACTGTGGTCGTGCTAGATGCGCTTGTCGTGGAACTGATGCTGGTGCTGGTTGTCACTGTTGTCGTGCTAGATACACTTGTCGTGCTGGACACGCTGGTGCTGCTTGTAACTGTGGTCGTGCTGGAAGCGCTTGTCGTGGAAGTGATGCTGGTGCTGGTTGTAACCGTGGTCGTGCTGGAAGCACTTGTCGTGGAAGTAATACTGGTGCTAGTTGTAACTGTGGTCGTGCTGGAAGCACTTGTCGTGGAAGTAATGCTGGTGCTGGTTGTAACAGTGGTAGTGCTGGAAGCGCTTGTCGTGGAAGTAATGCTGGTGCTGGTAGTGACTGTGGTCGTGCTGGATGCGCTTGTCGTGGAAGTAATGCTGGTGCTGCTTGTGACGGAGGTCGTGCTGGATGCGGTTGTCGTGGAAGTAATGCTGGTGCTGGTTGTGACAGTGGTCGTGCTGGACACGCTTGTGGTAGAAGTAATGCTGGTGCTGGTTGTGACGGTGGTAGTGCTGGATACGCTTGTCGTGGAAGTAATGCTGGTGCTGGTTGTAACTGTGGTCGTGCTGGACACGCTTGTCGTGGAAGTTATGCTGGTGCTGGTTGTAACTGTGGTCGTGCTGGATACGCTGGTGCTGCTTGAAGCTGTGGTGCTCGTGCTAGTTACCGTAGTCGTCGTTGCTGCTTGCAGCTGACGTATATGAGGATCCTGGCAGAAAGCTTCACACGTGTGCTCACAAAAACTTGAGGAGCCCTCTGGATCATTGTCAGAACAGCTTGGCATAGGATCCTGGTCCCGATCTCTTAAACATGGCTATGCCTGGGTCGACACCTGGCCCCCTGTCCCCCCCAAAGCACCCACAGTGCGAGCGAGATTCTGCCGAAAGCCTCAGCTACATGCAAAGGGAGAGCGGGATGTGCGACTCTTGCGTTTTCTCATTCTGATGCTTGGGCAAGTTTGGGCCTCGCTTATGTTCCCAGGCAGGAAGGGTGTTTAAGGAGCGCCCCGAGATACCGAAACCCTTCAATCCAGGCCACTCATCTGCCTGGAGCCGTCTGGATTCCTGGGACCAGATGTCCTCCGTGATCACCTCTCTCCAAAACCGAGACTTGCAGCAGTTCGGGGCTTAGCAGTTGGCGGAGCTGCCTTTGGGAATTCCTACATGGCTCAAGGTCGCATACCAGCCTCGGCAAGGTTCGCCTCGCTCTGGTTTACGGCTCTGGACAGCCTCGCGAAAGGGGGGGGAAGGGGGAAGGGGGGGGAGGAAGGGCGGGGAGAGGGGGGGAAAGCCCTGGAACAACAGAGGACCCAAGAAGCCCCATAAATGGCGCTCATACCCACCTCCACCAACCAAAGAAGGTTTGAGGGGGCTCCGAAGAAAAGAAAAGGCTCACCGCCAGAAACCTCGTCCCCTCAGCGGCCTGCTTTGAGCATAGACTGCAAGAGCCATCAGTGCCAGGGCAAACAGTCCAGGCCAAGCCTGCCATTTTGGGGCGGCATGGGAGTTCACACCGGGTGACAGTCATCCACCGGAAGTAAGGCTTAGGATCCTTCAGGGCCTTTCGGATCCTTCAGGGCCTTTCGGATCCTGTAGGGCACGCCGAAAACTCTACATCTGAGGTAGGGTCTCCTGCTTAGGTTTTGGTGAGCGCATATGGGTTTCCTACCAAAGTTTGTACGCGACTATCTTGGGCGAACACAGATCCTACCTCGGGGTTCCCCCCCTTGCACCTGCCGGCATCGGTCTCGGCCCAAATGGCTCCTGCTTCAAAGGACTTTCAGCAACTTGCAGCGGAATTCTGCAGAAATAAGAACAAAGCCCCGGCAGGCCCAAAACGAGATGCGCGTCCTTGGGTGCCTTTCGGACGAAACGGCCATTTCTCAGAGGGAGCAAAGGCACTTTCTGGCAATGCTCTCTGCTCACCGAAACGTAGTGGTGTGTGGCTGGATGGCTGGACGCATGCTCCAGCGAGGAGTGAGAGTCAGGGTGGTATGGTGTGGCGGGGTAGTGGTTAGGGTATCGGTCAGGGCTGAGTCTGGTGGGTGGAAGTGGAAGGGCAACATGTACCTGGAGCTTCTTAGCATCTGGAGCCCTTCCCTCGGCTAACACATCGGAAGGTCTGCGGCCTGCACTTCTCACAGGTCGCTCTGAGCCACAAATTCAGCGTCAAGGTTTCTTGCGAAATAAGAAACCCACCCCGCCCTCCCCATCCTCAACCCCCTTTCATCCCTCCAACGCCCACTCTGAAGCGACAGCGTACATCTCTCAGGCACGAGACGGCAGCCGGAACCCGCCTTTCGCTTCTTGGGCCGGGCCATGTTGCCGGAGCGCCCGGGCTACGACAAAAAAGCTGTTTTTCAGGATGTTCAAAACTGAGGGCTTCAGGTTGAAGCAACTCGGCCTGACCCTTTTGGAGGTGCTGATGGGACGTTAGCACTGGCCAATGTGCTTGGCACTTGCGGTCCTATGCCGCCGTGCTCCCTTGACACTGGCATCACGCAGGTGCAGCTTGAGCCAAAAGGCAAGGGTCGTTGGCGCAAAGTCAAGGGTTTAGGGAGGCAGGAACTTCGAGAACTGGTCCCCATCTTTAAGCTACCTTGCTGTGGCCCACCGTACCATGACTCTGCGATATTTACTTTTCTGCTTGCTTTCCTCTCCCTGGGGCTTTTGCTCCTTCGCCTGCCAGAGACTGCACCAGTGCACCGTGCCTCCAAGCCCCGGAGCCCCCTTCGGGCCCCCTGAGGGCCCCCGGGCCTCAACCCTAGCTGCAAAACCGGGGGGCCCTGAACCTGGGGTGTCCAGAGCAGACAGGGGGGGCCCTACTGTTGCAATCCATAAGCACCTGCAGGGCCGATATCCACAACATAAAGACCTAAAGCCAATCAAGTCGCGCTGGGGCTCTGTCAGCCCTCAGACGCGAGAGGTCGAAGGAAGAGCCAGGCACCTGTTTGGTACTTCCTTTGGTGCGTCCACAGGCGACTTCTGGGGGCTACTGTTAACCGGCGTTTTGATGATGTTGGCCGAAGGATGGCTTCAGTGAGTAAACTCCCGTTTGACTTGTAGTGCAATGCAAGAGTAGTGTTGGACGGAGATGGAAGACACTACAACTGGTGATCAGGGACAAGGCAACTAAATCCAGGGGAAGATATAGACAGCATGCTCACCAAGGGCCGCCACTGCAAGACAGCCCAGCGCCTAGTCGTCGAAGAGGCCGCCTGGTCAAAGGCAAGTCAAGACACCGGGCTACAAGTTGGGCACCAAGTCACCCATTGGGCACAAAGTGCAGAAATTTCAGTAGAGCTGCCTTTGCTGTTTCTCTTGGGCTCCTCGTCGCCAAACCTGGATCAGCCAGCGCCACAGAGGATCCCTACTGCATCTAAGCGGCGCAAAGGTTTAAGTTCCCTTGGAATGAGCCATGCAGAACAAGAGCATCCGCCTTCCTCCCTAAAAACCCTAAACCCTCGCCCTAAGGTGCACCTCCCGAAATTGGAGAAAAGCTGGGCCACCCGACAAGCCACCGCCGCCCCCACCACTGGAGACGAGGCCAGACCTCGAGGCACAGTTTAGTGTTCAGGGTTTAGGGCTTGGGGTTTAGGGTTTAGGGCTTAGGGTGTACGGCTTAGGGTTTAGGGTTTGGGGTTTACAGTCTAGGGTTTGGGGTTTAGGGTTTCGGGTTTAGGGTTTAGGGTTTAGGGTTAAGGGTTTGGGGCTTGAGGCTTAAAACTTAGGCTCTGGGATCTCGCTTCTGGGCCAGGCGGCATGAGCCCGCTGGTCTTCTTCGCGAGCTCCTCCTTACGCAGCCGCTCCTGCCAAGAAGGTCTGGTTAGCGTTTAGGGTTTAGGGTTTAGGGTTTAGGGTTTAGGGTTTAGGGTTTAGGGTTTAGGGTTTAGGGTTTAGGGTTTAGGGTTTAGGGTTTAGGGTTTAGGGTTTAGGGTTTAGGGTTTAGGGTGCGGAGCTGCAATTGGTATTGTAGAAAGGAGTTGGTATTGGAAGTTGAAGGGTCAATGAACCCGGTAATCTTTGGCTCAAGCCATGACCAAAGCGGTCGAAGGTTTCGTAAAAAGTGTGCCCTTGGTTTGGGGTCTTGTTGTTCGGTTGTTGGTTGTTCCAGGGGTAATTAAGGGCTTCTGTTGGGGTTGACTGTTTTGTTCCCTGTCCTCCTTCGGTTGCCCCCCGTAGGTTATGAGCCCAAATTAGGCTTCCTGCGGAATTGGTAAAGATTTTTCGTTTGTTTAACGCCATGGACATGATGCGGCGTCGCTCTGAGCCTGGACTGTCGCCAACGGCCAATGAAGCCGAAGGAAATCGTGGTGATGGGGGTGAAGATCGACAACAAATGGTACAAGCACTGACAGATGGTAGGGAGGTTGCAATGATACAACCAACGCCTCAGGTGGAAAACGAAGTGGTTCCGGTTCAAGCAGCAAATCCTTTCTGGAGCGAGCGGGCTCAAGAAGAAATGAGACTTAGGCAATCAAGGCCGGCAAGTCTTCCCGCGAGCGGAGGGGATAGGAGTGGTGAAGGTACGAGGAGACCGCCTTCGCTGCAAGATCTTTTGGGTCAGGAACCTGCACCTGTTGAGAGACCATCGTCAGGCTTAATGGGACAAATGGAACGAGGTACTATTGGTGGAGTGCAAGCCGACGAAGAACTCATTCCTGATGTTAGCGGTGAAGAGCAATCTGAAGATATGGCGGTGGTGAAGCGTGCGCTGAAAGAGTTGCTTGCGCAGACAAAGGAGCTGGGGAACAGGTTGCATCGGGTGGAGGAAAAAAGCTATACCTCTGCTGCATCTGGGTCAGCTTCAAGGGCACGGAGCTCTGGAGTGGTGGACGCAAACACGGCATATCCTCTAGGAATGACTCCAGAGAAGCAGTACCTGCCAGGACAAGTTTTCTACACGGATGGTATGGGTGGTTTTTGGACTGTGTTGCCTGATGGGACATGGCTGCCTATTGAGGGCTACGACCTGCCAAAGGGTTGTGATCTTCAATCCTTGCCTGGGTCCAGGAAGGGGGATGTTCAAGTGGAGGATGAAAAAGAAGTGCCAATGATGCATGTAGCTGAAGGGAAGAAACCCTCCAGATTGCCTCCATTGAATTACCCCACGGGAGGTCCTGCAAGTGGTGGATATGCAAGTGGACCACCTGGTTTAACACATGTTCCGATTACTTCCGTGCCATCAGGTGTTGATGGTTCTGTCGCACCTGCGGGGAACCAGCCCGGTTTTGTTTCAGCTCGGGAAACTGCAACGCAAGAGAACTCAGCAGGATCGGGTGGATATACAATGGTGGATGATGTTCCGTATCGGTGGAAAATGGTCGCTGGGAAGTTGGAATTAGAAAAGGTTCCGCTCACAGCTGTTACGCCCGGTATAGGACATGGACTACCTCAAGGGCCTGGTGGAAGGGTCAGCTTACCTCCTGGAGCAGTGGTGCCACGCGGTATGCCAATCACTGGTGATAGTTCTGGAACCGAACGTCCGGAGGCTCTCGGGAAGCATGTGATGAGCCTTCCAACTTTGGCAGACTACACACCAAGCAATCCGACGGCACTGGGTGATTGGATCGCAATGATCGAACCAATGCTGTCTTCGCTGACAGATACAGGAAGAGTGTGGTGGCAATGCGTCTACTCAAAGGCATATCAAGCGTATGCCAAATGGTTGAGTGTTTCTCCACTGGAAAGGTTGGGCATCAAGGCTGAGCTAGAAGGGCTCAAGGTGGTTCAAACTGTGCATGTTTTGTTGGAGCAGAGAGCGGTGTCTTTGCTGCTACAGGCGATTCCGGAGAGATTGAAGACCGAGATCGTTTCCACTCGAATGTTGGGGTCGGTGATGATATTTTACAAATTGCTGACGGTCTACCAACCAGGTGGAGCAAATGAGCGCAGCACAATGTTGAACTTCTTGGTGCAACCATCTTCAGCAACCTCGATCTCAGAGGCTATTAAGGGAGTGCGACAATGGGCGCAATGGCGTTCCCGATTAAGGGAGCTGCGAGCATCCGAGCCGGACGCTACCTTGCTAATCAAGGGATTGGATGCTTTATCATCCGCGTTGCTGGCAAAACACCCTACGGTGCATTTCAGAGTGGCATCCTTTCGGGAGAAATTGGGGGTGGACTACTCGCCGACCTCTGAAACTGCGACACAACTAGCTGAAATGTTACAGGCAGAGTTTGAACTGCTATTGCATAGTGCTGGTGAACAAGAGGTGAAGCAGGACTCGGACGCCAAGAAAAGGGCCAGGTTAAACAAGGCCCAAAAGGGAACTGGTGACGAGACAGAGGAGGGTGACAAAGGCAAAGGGAAAGGAAAAAGGTACAGCGGAGATGGTGAACGTCCTTTCTGTTGGATATATGGGAAGACCGATGCAGGTTGCAAGTTCGGATCCCGCTGCAAATTTCGCCATGACAAAGACTCCCTTGAGCGAGGAAGATGTTTTGAGTGTGGGGCCGTTGGCCATCTGCAGCCGCAATGTCCATATAAGGATGGTGCAAGTTCCAATGTGGACTCAAACCCTGAGAGAAGCAGATCTAAAGGGAATTCTCCCAAAGGGGGAAAGGGCGGCAAAGGTGCGAAATGGGGAAATGCCAAAAAGGCAGAGGTAGCTGAAGGGGGAGATGAGACGGCTAATGCGGGATTGGATAAAGGTTCTGCAAGTCCCTCATCACCATCAACACCCAATCAAGTCCTTGCTGAAGCGTTGGAAGTGCTGAAATCTATGAAGCTGTCATCAGCGCAGTCAGCATCGAGCGGGGATCCCAGTGTTCGAATGTTATGTGGATCTGGATTGTTTCAGCAGGAAGGGAGAGTGGCGTTGGTGGATACAGCTGCTACGCATCTTGTGCGGACGCTTTTTCCATGGGAATGTTTACCCGACACTACTGTTATGGTGCAAAGCGCGCTTGGTGGTGTGGCAATGAGGATTACAGAGAAAGGGACGTTGATTAGGGAAGACAATGGGCCCCTGATTATCCCTCTCTGGTTGATTTTGGAGTTTGGGGCGAACCTCACTGTGATCAATGGGATGTGTCACGTGGGTGCAAAATCTTCGCTGGACCAGCTCTTGTGGTTTGAACATGGCTGTTTGGTTATGGATTACAAAACAGCTGAAAAAATGGTTTTGCATGCTGAAAGGCAGCGTGCGTCTTGGTCCCATTCTCAATGGAGGAATGGAAGGGCGGACTGTGGAGTCGGTTCGTCGGATGCCACGTTGTTGCCGAAGCAGGGAGAAGGCCGAGGAGTATGCGTTCTACATGTGGCCAGGGTTTCTGACACCAATGAGTGTTCGGGAATGGGCATGTTGGACTCGGGAGCATCACATCCTCTCAGATCACTTCGTCCTGGAGAACAGCTTCCGCAGCAAAAGGTGTTGGTGTCTTTAGCTGTTGGATCTCGGGAGATGTGTATTACCCCAGGTGGGACCCTGGTAACTCCTGAAATGGTAGATCCACTAGTGCCAATTGGCAAAGCGAGCGCCTTGGTTGGTCTCAGAGTTCAGTGGCGTGGTGGCAAGTGCACAGCCTCACATCCTGTTCTGGGGGAACTTCGCGTTCGTGATCTGAATGGGTGCCCTTGTTTGGAAAAGGAGGTGGCGCTTCAGATCATTGATGAAATGGATTGGTGCTCACCAAAGCAAGCTTTGAAGGTGGCACGTATGGTTCAAGGGTGTCCGAATACGGACAACGAGGTGGCTGTAAAAACGTCGTTGCAAAGCGCAGCGCGGACAGCGTCAGCGAATGAGGAGGAGTTCGTCCAGGCATGCTGGAGATTTCTTCGGTGGTATTATGGGGATATACCAGAAAATATGCTGATGGAGCTGTTGCCACGTGGAGATATTGCGGCGTTGCCTTTCAACCGTCATAAAAGGAGACGGCTGGCACGAGCAAAAAGGGTGGTGGTACACCTATTTTCAGGAAAACAAAAATGGCATTTTCCCAGTCGGGATGTGGAGGTACTGGAGCTGGATTTGACAAAAGGTGGTGACCTACATAATTCGAGCGTCTGGAAGTATCTTCTGCATTTGGCGGCTGAAGGAAAGGTGGTTGCTGTGGTGGGAGGACCTCCATGCAGGACAGTGTCAAGGTTGAGAGGTGAAGACGGTGGTCCACCTGTATTACGCCGACGCTGTGGACCTGAACGGTTGGGGTTAAAGAGTCTTCCTTGGCCACATCAAGAATTAGCTCAAAAGGATGGTGTTTTACTTCTGAAGATGCTTTTCCTATATGACGTGGCGGTGCATTCAAGGGGTGGAACTGCTGAAGTCATCAATGGAAGTTCTGTCTTCTTTGGCATGGAAAGCCCTGGGGACCCTGAACTCATAGGGAAAGATTTCTCTCAGAACGGCAAAACGGTCTTGAGTGCTGAGGATCTGGTGGATGGTTCTCAGGAAGGGCTCTCAAGTCCTACCTTCTGGAGTTGGCCAGAGGTGAAAAGCTTTTGTGAGCGTTATGGAATGTACGCTGCACACTTTGATCAAGGAGCATTGGGACATGCTCTGGTGAAACCTACGACTTTCCTGGTGTCTGATATGGAACTATGGGAATCGTTGGAACAGGTTCGCGTGGTTGTTCCGTGGTCAGCAACATTCGCTTCTACCCTGGAAGAGCGTATTGGACAATCCTCTATATGGGCGCGATGGGCGTTTGGATTGGTTAAAAGAATACGTCACAGGTTGGCACAATGGTTGCATGAGAGCGATGCTGAACGGGAAGCTACGGTGTTAAAAAAAGAAGAACGAGAAGGGACGTTACGGAGGTTGACGACCGAGGAGCGAGCTTTCCGTGACCATTGCCTAAGGGGG